GAAAATAAAAAGTGAAAAATTTCACGTAAAGTTACATGATTGACCCCCAGGTTATGACGAGTTCGGAACACTTACACATCATGCCATGATGTAAGAAGAAAGGTGAACCATTCCGATGGATGCGCAGTAGGTAGTGGGAGAGTCAACCAATTACACTTTGAGCTTTTATGCAAAATTCAATATGGGTACTTATTGAGGTTTGTTTTAAATGACAGTATGATATTAGTGCTAAAAATGCCAGTTTGTTGCGTTCAAAATTACAAGAGCCAGACCGGTCATAGTAACAGGAAAAATTACAATTATATATTATTTTATTTTCCAAAGAGCATGAACTACGAAAATAATGACTCGAGGCGTGTCAACGAAAGAAAGGATATAAAACTCATATGGTAAGGTTTACATTCCAAATGCTTATAAATATAATCTTTTTCTTTTCGTATTTTATATGTCACAAATAGCTACGATGTAGTAATACATTCTTATTATAAAACTAAAATCATATTTTTGCTGCCAATCTGCTGACATAGCATGTCAGGAGGCTCTGCTCGGTTTCTGTCGCCAATCTGCTGGCATAGCATGTCAGCAGCTTTGTCGACAAATCCCGAGCCTATTGCGGATATTATGAATTTGCAGTCAATATCTGATCGAATTTGTTGCCAATCTGCTAGCAAATTGCTAGCATCCTGCTTGCATCCTGGGTATATTTTAATTATAAAACAATAAAATTGAAGGTTAAAAGCAACAATAATTTTTTAACAAAATATATTTTCATTAATTTTTTATAAACAAAGTCTTCATTTAAAAAACAAATAATATAAAACGTTTTCGACTTACAGTCTTCTTCAGTATATGTAATTAAGCGTCATATGAAAAGAAATAATGACAGAATGCTTCTAAATACGAGAACGTATTTAAAAAAACCGTCCAACAGGAACTCATAAGACACATCTTAACTGATTAAAATTTTGACATGTAAAAATTAAATTCGGTCAATATATAAGTAAGAATTTCTAAAAGTGTAAATCGTACTGTCAACAACTGTGTTTGTATAGTTATACTTTACTTTTATAATATTAAATACAACATATTTTTATTCAAATTGCATTGGACAATCTTATTTCATTTTTGATACTTGTAAACAGCATGCTGCATAAAAGCTCAAGCTCTGATTGGTCAAGATCTCAGACCTCCTGCACAATGGTTCATCTTTCTTCTTACATCATGACTATATAGCTCAATGAATACGAGTAACATGAACAGCCCTCTTATAAACACGATGACTCCATGCCCGTCATTAGACTGCAACGGAGTTTGCTGCGGCGATCTCTACCACTCTTCCGTGGGGTTTCCGAGTGACGGGAGTCATCTTTCGTAGCAGGTGTCGTATCGAAATATACACGTGATGTGAAAAAGAATCCTTGATTGCGAGCTAATCTAAATTCTCGTTGAACAAATACTTTTGTTCAGGTGAAAACGCGAGCCACGCGAAAACCACGATGTTGTCCTGGATGCAGGAGGCAGTGAAAATGAATCCGTTCTCGTCGCCATTCACGACAGCCAAGTGCCAGGCGCTGGAGAAAGGCGGTGCTCGGCCGCCTCCGAGTCGTGTCGTTACCGAGGAGGGTGGTTAGTATTTCACGATCCTTCGTATTTCTCTCGATTTGATCATGGAACAAATAATTGAGTGGCATTTCCCGATTAGAGGGAAAGAGAGGTTATATAGCTTTCGCGTGACTCTCGACGACGGCTTCGATAATCGGACTCTAATAAATTCGTTCGATAAAAGGACACTCTTACTGATAACAGGACTAGCTATCTGTGCTCCAAGAATTTTCCGTCTTCAACATTTTTTGCGAGAAGTGTCGTTTATACGCCAAAACCACCCGCCATTTCTCATCTGACAATCACGTTACATAACCCGAAATGTGATTGAACGATCATTCCATTGTCAGATTCGATTTTCAAGGTCGATTCGATCGCTCGTTGATACTCTTAATTTTTTCATAGATTATGAATTAAATAATATATATACGATTTAAGATATTTTTTAAACTCCGATTAATTTAATTAGCGATTCATCTTCAATCAAAAGAATTACTCTAAAACAAAGTTTCTGACTACAATTCTTAATCTGAGCTTCTCTTTTGTGAATTAAACGACAGAGTATTTATTCTGTTCGTGTTGATCACAATTAGTATGGTCATTATTTCACAAGTTAATTGATACTAAATTCATTCTTAGGAGTGGCATACGATTCCTTATTCTGTGAATTTCTATGGTCAGTTATGGTACAGTAATTATGTAAGTGTGCGTATAAAATCAAAACTACAAATGTGAAATCGAACAGACGCTTGATTATACAATTGTGCAATGACGCGTGTGTCAGTGCAGTATGCATCTCTAATTGAATTTCTGTTCCTATTTGAATAAACCGATTATGAATTATATAATCTTTGAGACAATATTAACATTTCGTGCATGTAATAAGAGAAGAATTTGATTTTCGGATTTAAATGTGTTCGTGCACGCCACAGATTGCATAAGGCGCGGCCATTTTGTCATATTGAGTTATGAGTGTCGGTCCATAATTATTTAATTTTTAAACCGTAAGAAATTGATCAATCATAATCGATTCTTTTCATATTCGATTATAATTGGTCAATTTCTTACTTAAAGCTTACTTAAGCTTACTTAAAGCTTAAATCACCTATTGTGGACCGACACAAAACATACTTTTCTTAGCTTTGGACGACGAGCTTTGGACCGAGTAGAAATAATTCGTTCGGTTGTCACTCTGTATGTTGACCGTGACCGAGAAAGCGTGCGGGATCCTTTTTTTATAGATCAAGTTGGCAAGAGGGGATAAACTAGCTCAAACTTTGAATCCGTGCCAGGGAGAGTGATCGAGATTGCTTCGATCAGCTGATCGAAAAAAGGTTCTTGAAACACTTACGACATGTCTCGATATTTAAAAGCTAAATATTGGAAAGCCAAATTTTTAGATCGTTAAAATTGTCGAATGTTACTTGTCGATGTACGATAAGACATTAACCATACGTCACGTTTTTCGAAAAATATGTATGAGAAAAAACAAATGTTTTATACATTTACAGATAGTTGCGAATTTGGATCTAACCATTATTTCATGCTATGTGGTCTCGGAGGCATTCTGTCCTGTGGTATCACTCATACTGGCATCACCCCCTTAGATTTAGTCAAATGCCGAATTCAAGTAGACCCTCAGAAATACAAATCTGTGTTCAATGGATTTCGAGTAATTATCCTTATTAATTGTTTACTTTCTTTTATAAATATCTATAGATATTTATAATATATAATAATAAATATGATAAATGTAATATTTATTTGGGATCTTGTTTATTATAGGTAACTTTTGCCGAAGATGGTACCCGAGGATTAGTGAGAGGCTGGGCGCCTACTTTATTTGGCTATTCAATCCAAGGGATGTTCAAATTTGGCCTCTATGAAGTTTTCAAAGTTCAATATTCGGCACTAGCTGGCGAAGAGCTCGCTTATGAATATAGAACCAGTTTGTACTTGATATCATCGGCTTCGGCAGAATTCTTTGCGGATATCGGTTTAGCGCCATTTGAAGCCGCTAAAGTAAGAGATCATCAATGTTTTTATTATAACATTTAATTTTTACATATTTTGACACACGCGACATAATTATTTCTAAATTACAGGTCAGAATACAAACCATGCCAGGATATGCCAGCACCTTACGAGCAGCATTACCAAAGATGTATGCAGACGAAGGTCTCACCAGTTTTTATAAAGGCTTGGTGCCATTATGGTTGCGCCAGATCCCATATACGATGATGAAATTCGCCTGCTTCGAACGCACCGTCGAGCTTCTATATAAATATGTAGTACCCAAACCTAGGTCAGATTGTAGTAAAGGTGAACAGTTGGTGGTCACTTTTGCAGCTGGATACATCGCTGGTGTATTCTGCGCCATTGTATCTCATCCTGCTGATACGGTAAGTTTTACTAAAGCTCCATTCATACATAAAAAAACAGAACATATCAAGAAAAAATGAAAAAACTTTTATTTATTCAAAGTTACCGATTAATTTTTTTTACATTCTACATATATCTATTTTAAAAATTTGTAAACTTTTAGAAAGATACATTCAGATCATTTACATCCAGTTGTTACAAGATACGATGGAGATACAAAAAAATATTTGATTAGATGAATTATGTATAAGTCGACTTTGTTGCCTCTTTATTCATAATTTATTCCTATAGCTTTAAATTTTCAACATTTTACATCTATAATATAAATTGACCAGGTTGTGTCCAAATTGAATCAAGAAAAGGGAGCATCCGCAGGAGAAGTTTTGAAGAAATTAGGTTTTGGTGGTGTATGGAAGGGCTTGGGACCAAGAATTATCATGATTGGTACCTTAACCGCAGCACAATGGTTCATCTATGATGCTGTCAAGGTCTGGTTGCGCATGCCTCGTCCGCCACCACCCGAAATGCCGGAATCTCTCAAGAAGAAATATGGCCTGGCATAAAAGTAATGCGCCAGGCACATTCATTATTGTTGACAAGATCGTTTCGCTCGATCGTTAGAAAAAGAAACGCATAAAGCGATTTCAATTGATCTTCGTATCGTACATTGTTGAACGATATGTCCTACTTTTATTTTGAAATATTTATTCTGCAGCATTATACAACAAAACGTCGACGGGCAATATTGCCGCGGTCTTAGAAGAAACAATTGTGTCTTACAAATAGAAAATATAGGATACTAATTGTGCCGTTTCTATAACTATCAGAGGCACAATAAATTTAATTTATAATAGCAGCAGATTACCCAGAGTAATCATAAGCTGTCATATTGTACATAGGGTGATCGCTGTAAATAAACAGTCCGATTACTCAATCACATGCTATATTGCTTAATATTTCTCCTTTTTCCAAGACATGTAACAACAGATACAATACAACAATCGAATCGAATATAACAGAGGCTGTGTTCCGATATTCACCACCAATATTGAGAATTTGTCACATATACAGATATAGATTTTTAATACTAACAATAAATATCGGAACGCAGCCAAAAAATCTAATATTTTACAAGATACTTCAATTTAATAGTTTGCGTTTTCTCCGCAGTCATTGAACTACAATATCAAAAATGATATGAATGACAAATTATGAATTTTTGTGTAATGTATATCGAAATTAATTTATGTCCGTATACTCTCATGCATATTCAATTCACAGATTGAATATATGCATTTACTAATACAGAAAATAATTTGATATATTTTACCAAGTTGAACGCAAGTGGTGGCACATGAAAAAAAGGATTAATTTATTTCAACATGTAATGTTGTAAGAAATAAATTCAAGATTCCTTGCTTCTAAGTACAACGTTGGATAAAAATATCTCCATTGCAAAGTACATTTATATCACTTCGTTTCTAAAGCAGTCTCCATAAATAATACGATGCTATTTTATGATGCATTATAAAATATTAACAAGTAAAAAATATTCTTATGTTTGTACTATTTCACGAACATAAGTATCTTACGAAAATACATTATGAGGAGAAGATATTTATGAGGACAGTATCTAGTGAATGCTATTACATCCCTTCATCAAGCGGATGCACATTAATACATTAGAAAAATACATGCATACATTTCTCATATACATAGTACAGAAAACTATTTTTCATTATTTTGAGATTGTTTTGTTTTGAAAATAAGTAACCGCATCCTGTATAGTCGCAAAAATTCTCAATGAAATCATCCCGTACATATATGAATCACATTTCTTGATTGTTTACGAAAACAGGACTGGAACAATTGACGAAATAGAATTCAATGTTCATCTGCGCGAATTCCTCTACGATTACGTGCAGTATTTGAACGCTACTCGGATCGATGTAAGTCAGCGCGCTCATGTCCATGATTACGCACCGCAATTCGTGTAAATTCTCAGGTTTTTTATCATCTAAGAAGCGACCTTCTTCAGCTAATTTTTTTTACATTTCATTATTTTTTGTGGACATACTCCTACAAGTTTGTACACAACCGACTTGAAATAGTTATTATTGGCGAAATTCAAAGTCCCGCAATAATGAAATATTTTTATTCCTTGTATTTCTACAGCCTGAAATGAAAATCAGTATAAAAGCTGACTAATTGTGTTTTCTGATTTACTCAATGAGCCTTACCGCTTTGTATCTACCCAAATCCAAGTATAAATCCGTATGCGGTATATGACCCAGTAAACATGTGTAAGGTCGAATAGCTTGCAGTAGAATAATGAATAGTGACACAAGTAATCCCGCAAGTAATCCAATATCAATATTTATCAACGTCACAATGAAGAAAGTTACAACCCAAATTATAGCGTCAGCTTTGCTCAATTTCCAAAATTTAATAAGCTGATTGGCTTGTTGAAACATTCCTTTTAATGCCACCTGTAAGAAATTCTTAAAAATTATATGTTTTCTTAATGGCTATTAATTATATGGTTCTTAATGGTAATGGTTTTCTTAATGACAAGATTTTTTCATAATATAATTCTAATTACATACAACTATTATGGAAGCCAACACACATCTCGGTAAAAGTTCAAAAAACGGTCCAATCCACAAAAGTATGATGAGCAACAATAAACAAGATATGACGCTTGCTAGCTGCGTGCGTCCCCCGACAGTTTGTTGGATAAGAGATCTACTCAAGGACGCTGATATCGGCATACACGAAAAGAAGGAACCCATTATATTACTAAGGCCCTATAGTTAGAACAATGGTCGGAGATTAATTGAATAACACAGTGATCATCAAGATATTAATGTCTCACCATTGCAAGAAGTTCCTGATTTGAATCTATCTCATAGTTAAGTTTTTGCGCAAATATTAACGCCATTGATATTGTGATGGTATATGAAACCATGGTTATCGCAATACTGTCGACCAATACTATGGGCAACAATTCGAAACTTGGCACTTCTGGCTTAGGAAGCCTGTTGAAAAACATTGCTATACAGAAATATATTTCAATAATATCTATATTTAAAAAAACAAGTATTACAATTTGCAATTATTGTAAATAATAATTGCAAGTTTTGCAATTATTGTAAGAATAGATTTATTTACGAACCCTATAGGAATATGCCCAACAGTTTCAATATTGTAAATCTTTGGTAAATCGCAGTATCGAGAGACTAACGTTCCACCAACCACTGCAATGAGTTCGATAGGTATTGGCATGCTGCATTTCTTGCTTACTCTTGGCTGACGGAAAAAACAAATTATATATTTTTCAAACATAATGCCTATTTAAAAAACTAAATTGCTATGCTAATATGTTATTTACCTTTAAAAATTCATTGTTGAAAATAAGAATGATTATTGATACAATCGATACTATTGCAGCAGCTACGTTGGTATTCTGTATTTCTTTAAATATATCTATAAGAGTCTAAAATTAAAGAAAAAGAATTCTTTGCTCTTATGTTGTATTTATTCACAATTTTATGCATATTAATAATTTACGATATATGAGAAATACGATTTATGTCTACTTACAAAGATCAATTTAAAATATCCTTTTTGCTTTGGCAGTTTTAAACCAAGAAGATCCTTGATTTGAGATATCAAAACATAAACAGCAGCTGCTGTTGTAAAGCTATTTACTAAAGTTTCACTCAGTAATGTCGTCACAATGCCTAATCGGAATGTATACATTATTATCTATAATGATAAAAAAATTCATTTTCCATTTTTTTTTCATTTCAAAATGTGTCTTCAAAAGATAAGATATTTACCTGAAATATCCCGACCATTAATGTCACAGCTGTTGCTACCTGCATAGGTGTATACACAGACGCGACATCTTCAAAATTTTGCGAAACAGTATCCGAAACATTTGCAAATGTATGTCCCGCAAATTCCGCATGTGGATTCGAGTGAAGCGTTACTACTTTGCCAGTCATTAGACATACCACAGCAAAAGTTCCTGATGAGTGCCAAGAATGTTTGATTGTTCAAGGTTGTCGAATAAGTTCATACTAAGGTGTATTATTTCTAATTGTTCTGTAACGGAAGTTACTCAAATAAATGCGTTAACCGAGAGTTACGAACTGCAAAGTACATATCTTTGCAACTTCGTTAGCTCGGTGTTATCTTCAACGGGATTATACATTTTGCATCGCCTTACATTCTCACCTATAGAAACATGTCTGGATGTGCCAAAAAGAAAATATATAAAGACAGGGAAGAAGGCCATGTATATGCCGACTACTGGTGGTAGATTTCCCAGAAGTGCATAGGCCATACCTTGCGGTATATGCATAATCGCAACAGTTAGACCTGAAATGATATCGGACAATATGTTCTCCCTCCAATTGTATTGACTGAGCCATTGTATCGCCGGTATTGTCGATGCCACGCAAGACTGCCAATTCTTCGATTTAACGTCATTTATTGTATTTCGTATCACTGCAAATAGATAAATTGTACTTACAAAATTATATTTACTGTACAAAATATATTTGTGCTTCTCTGTTACTGTAACTTACAAGATGATTTCAGTTTCTCATAATCATAATTTTGATTCAACGTCTCGTGTTCGTAGACAGGTCTTTCTAAATGTAATTGTAACAGAGTATTGCACTTGTCCATGATTGATATCCACAATTGCAAGTACACTGATTTTAAACTGTATTTATCTCCAAGTTCAATATAATAATTGTGATTATCTCTTTGGTTTTTTTACACTACATCTATAATCAAATAATATAAGCATGTAACTGATATAATATCTCTTCGATTCTAGATAATCAAAGTATCTTTAAAGTTAAATATTTCCTCATCGCAATTATATAATATCTTGACTAAAATTTTCCACAATCATGTTTTATATGAAATCTATATAATAATTTCATCATAAAATTAATAAAATAATTCATATAATTAATAAATACACAAGCAGTAAATTATATAAAAGAAATTATATTGTTCGAATGTAGTTGAATACGTATTTCTAATTTTAATGTTACAAATGTTATTATAAATATATAAAATTTTAATTAAATTAAAATTATAAACATTGTTTAAACCTTTTATAGTCAATGAAGTGAACTTACATTTACGTATTAAAGAATATTTCTTCGACTTTCTCGGTATCTGTCTTAGACAATGAGATCTCTGAGCTGCACGTGACTAATAATCACCAGATGAAAGCCACTACTTAGATATATTGATTAGCTATGTATGTACACAATATTTGCATTTGTATCAATTTAGATCGCCTAACCTGTATTTATCTGCGGCCATTCTTCTTTGATGCAACTTCACATTCCGCAGCATTTCTCCCGCACTTTATTTAAAATAATGTCAAACGCCAAAGCAATCGAAGCTAGAATCCAAGAAGCGTTTCACATTCTGTCACGAGAGGCAAAAGGTTTGTCTTTCTATTTTCTATGAAGCATATGTAGAGTTAATCTTACATTCCCACATCTATTACATGACATGACATGTTGCATAATCCACGATTTCGTTTATTAAGTATTTATGAAGCGATATACAGCTGTGATATACAACTGTGTGAATATTTCTAACGATATTTATTTCTATTTCAATTGTAAAAATGAATATAATAGATATAAATATTAATATATATTATATTGGTGTTGAATATAGAACTGTATATAGAACAAAATTTTTGTTATTCTACGATTGCAAAACTGTAATATGTCGTACCTTTAAATTATATAGAATGAATCATGTAATTTGTTACAAATTAATCAGATGTTTAATGTAAAATTTAATATGTAAAATTTATTTTTAAAATGGTAATAATATACAATATCATGATATTTTATGAAAAAAACAAATAAGTCTTTTTTTACATAATTGTAAATAATATTACAAAATTCTTTATAATTATTACACACTTGTATAATTTTATTGTAATTTTTTATATTGTAGAGTTATATTTACAAAGTGAAGTTGCAGAAATAAAACATATAATTACGCCACTTATTTTCTATCGAGAGTACGTTTCAAAAAATATTCCATTAATTATAAGAGGAGCAGTGAATCACTGGCCTGCAGTAAACAAATGGTCCATACCATATTTCTATAAGATACTTGGTGACGAAAAAGTTTCAGTCGCTGTAACACCAAATGGTTATGCAGATGCAATAGCTAAAGATGAGGAAACCAAGAAAGAATTCTTTGTAATGCCTGAAGAACGATTACTCATGATGTCAGAATTTCTCAATATGTTAGAAAACACGAAAGAGAACAGTGTATATTATATACAAAAACAAAACTCGAATTTCATTCTCACAAGCTTTCGCAAGTTATGGTCGGATGCAGAAATTGAAATACCATGGGCCAGTGAAGCATTTGGAAAAAATCCCGATGCTGTGAACTTTTGGATGGGAGACAAAAGAGCTATAACTTCCAGTAAATTTTTATTTTACTTGGTAACATCTTGAAAGTATTTCGATATTTCAGATCTACAAGATGTATACAAGATCGTCACCATTTAATTCATTTTTATAATTTAAAGAATTTTTGCACATACTTCTGTCACATGACTTTATAAAGTGTATAGAGATAATTCTAATTCAATAATACATTCGCAAATACATATAATACATTAAAAGTATATTTTTACAATATTGTAGTGCACAAAGATCCCTATGAAAATATATATTGTGTCGTGTCCGGTGAAAAAAACTTTATTTTACATCCTCCCACGGATTTACCGTGGATTCCATATCAAAATTATCCATCTGCCATTTACAAGGAGTGCAAGCCCGAAAAGTGGATTATTGAACCAATAGTTAATAAAACGTCTGATTCAGAAGAAATCGCAGATTCAACTTCACTACCATGGATATGTGTAGATCCGCTAAATCCGGACTATGAAAAGTTTAGTTATGCATCTAATATAATCTCATATAATGATAATTTAGAATATTTATTTTAGATCAAAAATAAACCAAAACATTATTTATAGATATCCGAAGTATCGTAACGTACACAGCATGAAAGTCACTCTCAGAGCTGGGGATATATTATATTTGCCATCACTATGGTATCATCATGTTACACAATCTCATGCTTGCATATCCATCAATTATTGGTACGATATGGAATTTGATATCAAGTATGCCTATTTTAAAACACTCGAAACATTGTGCAAATGAACAAGTGGTTAAGGCACGCTTTAAACATTTATGTAAGTGCTGTTGCTTTATTTTATCGTCGTCATTTGGTGCATGCAAGAAACTAAAAAAATCTTATTCTTATCATTATTACTTTTTCCTCTCCTCCCCCCCCTCTCTCTCTCTCTCTCTCTCTGTAAAACGTATATATAATTATATGTGTATATTGTACATTTATGTAGCACATATGTATACATACGTTTTCTGTATAGAGACTACATATATATTTATATTTATTTATATATATATATATATAAATATATAATATATATATATATATATATATAATGTAGGTAACCTAAATGTGAGTGAGTGTGTGTGTGTGTGTGTGTGTGTGTGTGTGTGTGCGAGTGCGCGCGTGTTCCATCATACAATATGCACTAATGAAAACACCTACACATATTTTCCAATTAATATATTGATATATTCATTAAGTTAAATGCATAGCTGTATCACTATTATCAAACGATGATACAAAGACATTGTTAATATATTTTATTATTCTCATAGAGATTATAATCTTACTGCTATGTGCTTTATGAAACTGCCAAGGAATTACTAGAAAGTTTAAGTCAGGCCGTTTCATCATTATTTTCGGTAAGTAAATTATATTTACGCTTTGTGCCACAATGTTGCGTTTCATACATTTTTCGGTTTTCCAGATATTTTCGATAATTGTTCTCGCGTTTTCTTCGCTGTTCTTCCGCCTGTTGCCGCATCTTTTCGGGGTTCATATGTGTAGTCACCATATGCCTTGTTAACGAACTCATGAATTTATACGTAATTCCACACACGTCGCAGGAAAGTATTTCTTCACTTGCTCCCTGCTGCTATAAAAATAAAAATTAAGGAAAAATTATTTACATTTGAAAAAATATAATGCGAACGATATAAAGTTACACATACATTATATCCCCCCCCCCACCACACGCGCGCGCGTTTTTTTTTCTATACGCTATTTATACGCTAAGAAAACGAAAAAAACAAAATGATGATATTATGATGTCTATAAGAGATTTTTATATACATTTATTAGTTTAGATATATTATTTAGTATATATACTTCTGTGTCATTGGAAAAGTCTTTGGATTGAGAAGATTATAGGAGTAATGATGAAATTTGATTTTGTCGAGACAATCATGGTATGCTGAAATCATATATATGTATTTTTTCAAAATAGAAAGGCATTCAAAACAATAATATTGAGATTCGAATCAGATAAGCGAAGTGGTGGACCAACGATGAGTGATTGAAACGACAAGAGCGAGAGGAAAAACAAGCGATGAAAATAAAGAAGCAGTGTCAAATATCAAACCATACTTTAATTGCAATATATATGATTATATTGGCATTAATTAGCCGTCGAAAAAGTACTGGATGTTTCGAGTATATAAAAAATTCGAATACATCGTATTAAAATGTTAAAAATGATGCGCTTAAAAATTCGTGTGTAATTGGCGCTCTTCTCGCACAGAAAATGTATAAAAAGCAATGCGAAGATAGAAAGAAAATACGAAATACTTATCGATACGGATAGTGATAGTTTCTTGATATGCGTGAACATAAATACATTAAGATGAATTCATCTCAGGCAATTAAAATTTGATTTTCGGATACAGGATCGGATCCAAAATTGCTCTGAACGAAACTTACGATCAATGGACATTCTTATTCGATTTAGATACAAGTCATCTCAGACACATTATCACGATAGAAATTGTTAATTAACACTGATTTTTTAGATACGGCAGAAATTAATGTCGAAGAGAGTACGATAAAGATTATATCGATGAATCATCAGTTAACGAAAACAGCTAATTATATTTAAATATATTTCAGATGGATGTAGAGAATATGAAGCGAACAGTAGATATATCCTACATACAGAATGCTCGAACACAGATGAGTTGAGATGTTAATTAGAAATAATAAACCAAATAAGACGCTCAAAAAAGAAATAAAAATGACAATTGTTTTAAGAGATGATGAACTCATATATCAATGGAGATGTTTGTAGCAACATGAAAAAGTTAATAATCAAATCGAGAAGAAACAAGCGATTATCCGTTTTTCTTTTTCTGACAGCCAAACCGCCTCTTAGAAGGAAAAAAGAATCGCCTGCACCGTCTTTGCATACATTATAGATTATTGAATAAAAAGATAATAAAAGATAGTTATCTATTATCTTTAATAGAAGACCAACTAGACATGTCACAGAACGCACAGACTTTTAGTATAATAAATTTAAAAAAATAGCTTTTTTTCATATTCGAATAAGTCGAGTATAAAATATACGGAGTTTGTTATTTCTGATAGTCAATTTCTGCGAGTGCTATTTGGTCTTTGTAACTCGCCTCCGTTTTTCAGAGTTATATTAATGTGATTTTTAAAAATTTAATGCGAAACAAAATAACGTTAGTTTATATGGATGATTTGATTGTATTTTTCAATGATTGTGAATGGCTTAGAAAATGTAAAAAAAAAAGAAATACTCAATATTCTGCCAAGTGAGTCAGTCTTATGATTAATTGGAATAAACTGTTGTTTGAAAAAAACGATCGAATTTTAGCGAGCATGATAGTTAACGAACATGTTCAATTGTCCAAGTAAAAAAATCGAAACAAAGCATTTTTTCAAATCTAAGATTGTCTGACAAATACAAATGTTTCTAAGTTTAACTAGACTATACTTCCATAAATTTATGCCGAAATATGCTATAATTGTACAAACATTAACTAATTTGTTCAGAGCGAATGCTAAAGAGGATACTAAGGTTTGGCCATTTTTGGACCAAAGCTGGTATAAGTTCAGGTCCAAGTTCATCATTAGAATATGAGAAACAATAAATAATTTCTAGAAACCTTCTAGAAACAATAAAGAATAATTATTTATCTACCAAGAAAAGTCTGAGAAAAGTTATGAAAATGAAATTATTACTAATTACTAAAATTATCATGAGATTTTTAAAATATTATATTCTTTAAAAAAATTAATTGCATATGTTGAGAGATGAATAATAAATGTAGAGGATGACTTTTTAGTTCACATAATGTACAAGGTGTCCCATAATATTTAATGATTCCAATCCTTTATTGGGTACATGCATGTATGCATGTATGGGTGAATGGTTTAAAAAAAATTATGCAATTAACAATATGCGAGTACATACATTTTTTTAAGACAACTACTTTCCTATACTAATTTATTTCATTAGTCTATGCATAAAAATACTATCAAAAAAATTAATAATTTACAAGACTTTATATGTCAGAATATGCCAGAATAAAGTTTATATTTAAAACATCTCGTAAGCTACAGACTTCTCGACTCTCTTTTGTATTTTAATAATTTTATATTTAAAAAAAAATTAAGGAATCATATTACATAATAAAAATATAAAATATTCCATGTAAAAAAATGGAAACTATAAAAAATCTCAGTAACGCCATCTACGAATCAATGTTATTATCATATAGCCCCCTCGATACTTTATAATTTTTGTCTGCAACATTTTTAAACTTAAAGATTCTAAAATTCTAGTGCATTAAACTACATTAGGATACTCTATATATATTTTTATACATTATTTATACGCTAAGAAAACGAAAAAGAGCAATAATATTATAATATAAAATATAATAAAAATAATTATACATACTTGCTGATGTACCAACATATGTCTCTGTAGATTATTCAATCTATTGAACTCGCGACCACACACTTCACAATCAAACTTCTTGTCAGGATCGTGATGCTTTTTGTGCATACTCAAATCGGTCATGTGATTGAAGGTCTTTTGACATATGTCGCAAGTGTATTTACGTTGATCGATAGGCATATGCGACTCTTCATGTTTCGTTAAGCTAGTCTTATCCATGAAGCGTCGACCACAGTAAATACAGGGAAGCGGTTGTGATTGAGAATTGTGCTGTGTTAAGTGACGACGTAACGCCGTAGATGTGGGAAAATTTTTTTGACATTCCAAACATTGGAACGGTCTATCGCCAGTATGAGTCTTTCGATGACGAGCGAGTGAAGCTTGATCTGGATATCTGATGGAGAAAAAAAACTTAATCTTATGAGATCACAATTATTAAGAGTTTCATTAAATAGAATAATAGATAACAGATAGCAAAAGACAAAACATGATAAGATTTCACAAAGCTTACAAAAGTATACATGCATCAAGTAAATTTTTATCTACCTTTTAGGACACAAGTCACAAGGAAAATTTCTTGTAGTTATGTCTTCCTCACGAGCGTGTTTTAGTCTATTATGCCTAAGTAATTGGAAGGGAGATTTAAAACTCTTATTACAAATGTCGCACTTTGAATTATCTGTTGTGGGTATAATGACTTGAGTTCTCTTTTGTCCATTTTCATCCTCTGATATTATCAAAGATATAGTAACAGTATTGTCTTCATTTTCAAAATCTTGAGGCGATGACACTGTATTGGTTGTCTAACAAATTATAAAAACAAATAGAAAAAAATCATCTTTTTATATATAAAATTTATTGATGTATAATATATAAATACCTGTTTATTAGAAATGGCCTTGGAATCCAAGTCAGGCAAAATATAATCCTCTTCAATTGGATCATTGTTTTCATGAGATTTAGATTGCAGTTCTTTATTAACATCATCATCGTTACTTTCAGCAATCGCATAATTTCCATCCTCAGTTAAGTATACTGGTTGCAGAGTCCCATTAGCATCTTTAAAGTACAATTGACCATCATCATCCTCGTGCAAAAATATTTGATCCTAAAAAGAAGAAACATATATAGTACATTTATTTATAACATGTTACAGTTCTTGTTTGTAAATGTTATACTTGAGAACTCTCTTCTTGATTTTGATTGGATTCGATGTTCGCCGTTTCCCAAGATATTTGTTCTTCTTGCTCCATTGTTGCATTATCATACTGATATTGTTCATTATCATCGACAGCTTGTGCTACGTACAAAGTCTCCATGTTGTCTCCTTCATAATATATAGTACCCTCAACTGGAATGGTATTTGCCTCAAGACGTTCCATCTAAAGTGATGCAATTGTTCATTAATTATATTAAAAGACTATTTTGTAAAAGACTATTTTTATTGATACTTTGATCAGATATACTAACTTTAACAAACTGTGCATCATTAATGTTTACATCTCTCTTTTCTTGTTGCTTAATAGAAGAATCTTGCTTCTTTGTTCCAAGTACAGTGTACAATAGATTATTCTCTGTATTTTTCACTATCTCTTGCGTCGACTCAGCATCGTCTTCAATATTATTTATTTTATTGTTAATATCATCATCTATTCGAGATTTGTCCCTTTCAGTGAATTCTACATGGACTTTTAAATCTAATCTGTTTGATTGAAGTGTTTGATTATTTACATTCTTTTTAGTTTGTAAAGAGTTTGTATTATCTTCCAATGCAGAATTACTGTCCAACTCATCTATGCGCTCCAACTCCTCATCCTGCCAATCTTCATCTACATCATAATTTATAACTTGCTTGTTGATTGTTTTTTGTGTATTATTTTTTACACTCTTAGTTGATCCCTTTTCTGGTGAAGCAAATATGGAATTCTCTTCGTCAAAACTATAAAGCTCTATGTTTTTCTTAATTGTCTTATCATTTTTCTCTATCCTTTCAACTGTTTCGATATCTTTTGCATCTGTTGAACCATTCTTATCCTGCAACGAATCATTATCTACTGAAACCTCATCATTTTCCTCTTCAACTTCTTCAATTATCTCTATAATTTCTTCTATTTCTGTTTCTTCAGAATCCTCAGTTACTTCAGATTCAAATATAATATTCTCTTCCTTAACATTTCCACTTTTCAACACTTCCACAATATCTTTATTATCTATAACCAAACTCTCCAATATTTCCGTTGACAACTCCATTCTTAAGTAGTAATACAAAAATCGCAGCTGAAAAATAAATATCAGATGACATATTATAAATTGTATTCATATAAGCAAATGACAAATTAATTCTTGCCTATAAAAAACTATTGTAAACTTGTATACAAATAATTGACTTGCTTCGAAGCAGTATAAAAATAAATAATCCATTGCAATATTATTAGATATTTTAAAAATAATGAATGACTTATATGCAGCTTTTAGTATATACAGCTTTGTTTTAGAATATATTACATGCAATTATATTATTAATTTTCTTTTATTATTTCCTGTACTTTTTACATTTGTTACATTTGTTAATTATTACTTAATTAATTATATCTTGTTATACATACATTCAGATTTAGAAAAAAATTTCAAATTTATTTATATTTACATTTTTTTATTCTCGACTTAAATGCAAAAAAAGCTTACCAAATAATATATTTAATTAATTATAATTTCTTTAATTAAAATAATTAAATCTTCAAAACTAGTCTTCACTATCATTTTCTTATCGATTTAAATTGTGTGATGCGACGAGATTACGGATATAAATTCTGTCCACGGTGTACTCTGCACCTTAGTGGACTGACCGTCCTCATATCGTAGCGTCTTTTCAATTTTTTTTTTTAGTATGTTAGTATGTATAGATGGAAAGTGCCTTCAATCTCCTGCAGGTTATTTGGCACAGGTCTTCTGTTCAATTTTTCAGTTCTTCCATAACAAAAAGGTTAATCGGCAAAGATCAAACAACGCGGCGCGAAAACCGGTAGGTCCATCGATACATCATTATACACATTAAAGAATTGTTGACCGATGCTAAGGGAAAACCGCGCGCCTTACGTGCCGACGGATACTCCGGCGCGATTTTTAGTCAATGTCGGGCTCGGTAGCTGAATTGGATTGAACGCACGATAAGACAAGGACACGGGAAGCCGCAGAAAGGTGCGAATAGAAGATATCAAGAGAGAGCCATATCGTGAGACGAAGGTCGTCGCATTTATGCATCGAGCTCGCACCGGGATAGCACGACAATGTTATAGTCGAACGACCGCTCCGCGAATCCTCGTGCGATTTCCCCCCTCGTCGTCCGGAACGTCGGAAAACGCCGGGCATCGACGACGGACGACGAAACCGACGAAAATTCGTCGTCGATGTTCCACGAAATCCCGCTCACCAGTCGGTACGAAAATCTCGTGAATTTATCAACGGCTAGCAATATGGCGAACCCGGAAGGGAGGCAAGGGGGCAGGGACGGACGAGGGAGAGAGAAAGAGCGTTTATCTCGTTACGCGGAACTGCGACGCACGGTGAAAACAAGCGGGCAGACGCTAGGCGTTCAATATCGGTTTTTTTCACGCTCATCGATCATCATTACGTACCTGTCGTTGTTTCGCGAGATCGCGGGCGACGCGCCGCGCTGTCACTGGACGATAGGGTTTACCGTGTGCTCGGTCGATATTCCGATTGTCCGTACTCGTCTGTCCTGCCTTCTCCCGGTCTTCTCCACCAAGCGAGCGAAGCCAAGCCCGCGCGGGAGTTTTGTCGCGCCAGTGCGCACGCGCGACCGGAAACCCGTGTGGCCGATGCGGCGTATCGACGGAGATATATCGACCGATTGAATTTTATCTAACATGGAAAAGAGAAATGATCTTATTGTGTTACATATTTATAATCTATCTTATCATACGTATTTGAAT